GGTCTGTTCCTCTCCCTTCTCCATGCTTGTAGTGGCCCTCCCATGGACAGCCCCATTGGTCAGCTTGGGTCCTGACTGCATCTCTGCCCTTCCTACCATTTTTGTTGTGGCCTCTTCATGTTTAGCTGTGAAGATTCTGTTCTGTCAGCCGTTGGGTCCTTTTCTGGATTATTTACATTGACGTGGGTGGTATCTAGGTGTATCCATGCGACAAGGTGAGCTGAGGGTCCTATGTCATCCGCACATCTTACGCTTTTCCATTGCTATTTCCGAGAGTCTCCGGGCAGACGCTTTAACACCAGCAAATACCCTGTCCTCATTAAAACGTACCCGTAGTTCAGCGTCAATTAATGATTATTACTTTAATCTTTACTATGATGGTTACAAAGTGATGGCTTTTCCCACCCCATCACGACCTCCACATTTACCAGTCACAACTCTTCATTATCCTGCAAGCAACAGCCCACCTGCTAGGGATGGAATTGTGCCCACACCAAATTTGTATGTTGAAGCCAGAGCCCCCAGTGTGGTTATATTTGGAAATGGGGCCTCTAAGGAGGTAATTAAAGTGAAATAAGGTCCTAAGGGTAGGGCTCTGATCCAATAGAATTAATGTCCTTGTAAGAAGAGACGCTGGAGAGCTCTCTCTCCGTGGAGCACAAAGAAGAGGTCATGTGAGGACACAGAGACCCAAGAGAAGAGGCCTCAGACACCTACCTTGCCAGTATCTTGATCTTGGACCCTCCCTGCATCCACAACTGTGAGAAATAGATTTCTATTGTTTTAAGCTACCCAGCCTATGGTATTCTGTTATGGTGCCCACTCTAAGATACCACCTTTCTCCCCCATTTATTTTTTACCTATTTACCTATTTTCTATTTCTTATAAGCATGAACTCATGGATTCCTAATTTTAATGGTTCATAATCTTTTATTGTCCTTAATTATATGATGCTTATCCAAAATTTGGCCAGTGGGAAACCACTCTAGCCTGCTTCTTTGTCCTCCTAAAACGCACTTTTCTTTTTATACCAGAAAGTAAGGGCGGGGGGTGAAGAATGTTCCAAATGTTCTTGCCTCAGCATTAGAATCCACACTTTCTCTGGGAAGGCCTGGTTCCTTTCAGTGGGGCAGCCGGCACCATAGTGCTCCCTAGTTGGTCAGTGCTACTGGGATATCTGCTTCTAGTCTTCTTTTCTAGAAAGAACTAGGAAGCTCACATGTACACATACACATACTTTAGAAATCATGGGTCTGACAAAACTTATGAGTTGTGAGAAATGTCTCCACTTCCAATCTCCTCTCATAGACCTCCTGACCTGCCTGATTCCATATCCATATTTTCTTTCTTGCACAATTTCCTTCTTGCACAACCGTAGGTTCCAACGCCATTTGCCCAATCCTCCAGTGTACCTAAAATAACTGCAGAATTGCTTTACCACACCACCACAAAAATCAGACTAACTGCAAATTCAGGATTTGTCTGCCATTCCTCACCTCTTCCCACACGTGAGTAAGGTACACTTATAAATATGGTCTTCCACTGTTACTTGCATCAGTTATAGTTTTCCTTCAGTGGGATTATGTTTTCATTCAAAACACAGTCGGGTCCATTTGTTTCAGCTTGCTCTCCGTCCTTACTGACTTTAATCCTGTCCTTACTGATTTATTTTCAAATTAGTAAAATATGAGCATGCTTTCCCAGTCAACTAAATTAAAAGATAAATTCAGTAGGGTCATACCCTCCCCCACTCCATCTATCCTCTTCTTCCACCCAGTCCTTTTAGAAACCAACCTCATGGTTCAACCGTCCCTCATTTTGTTTATGGAAAGATAAGGGGACACAGGCATGTTTATTTCCCCTTTGTTCCTAAATACATTCTTGTGCACTTTGATTTCCAGGCGACAGATACCATTAAATGAGAAAAGCATTCAATACAATTTTTTCAAAGAAACAAAATTCTCATTCATTAATTTGGTCTTTTTCTCTACCTCATCATTTCCACATGTATCTTTCTTATTTCCCTCCATATGCTTTTTTGGGTTGGCTTTTTATTCTTTTCTAGTTTTTTTTGAGTTGGGAATTGAATTTTTTTAATTCTCATTGGCTTGGCAATTCTTTATCCATCCCTTTTAGACTTTTGAAGGACTGTTTTATGTATGTCTTTTCTATAAAAGTATAGAGTTGGGGTTTGTTTTATGAACCAATCTGAAAGTTCTTAGGCGAGTTAAACCCATTCACATTTAGTGACACAACTCATAATATTTGGTCTCTACACTGAAATTACTTTGGGTTTGAATTATACATATACTATTTACTGTGTTTTACTTTTTGCTTTAAAAAATATTCTTGGTGTTGGAAGTTTTCCCCCCATTATCTTGTGTTTAACTTTTTATGCCTATTGTGTTTTTCCTATTTAATAGTATTAAGATCTGTCAGTTTTACACGGTATCCTTTGAATCCCATCTACTAGCTATACAATAAGCCATGATCTGATCCTACTTTCCTTTTTCTTTCCATTTTTTTAAAGTTACATACTTTCTACTTTGTCAAAACATATTATATTTATATACCATTCCCCTACCTATATACCTATTCCCCAACCCTGTTTTAACTTTACAGTTATATATATGAAATATTCACCATCAGTCCTCTTGCCCAAATTTCATCTCTCTTGTCTGCATGAAGTTCTTTCTCTAATACATTCCCCACGAAGGATGCATGTGCACACTACTCATTTCGTTGGTGGACACTAAGAAATTTCCTACTGATCCTGAAGAGCATCTTAGCTGCATATTAAACTTATGATTCACCATTTTTTTGAGTTTAACATGTTCCTCTACTGTTTCTGATGCCAGTCTTACTTTCTTGCTCTTTCATCATTTTGTCACAAGACTCAGAGGACGTTATCAAAATCTACTGGATTTGTCCAGCTATGGGAAGAGGTTGATGATCCCAGCTCAATTTTCCGTGGCACCTACCAGGTAGGCCCTTTTAATATATACATTAAGGTCCTCTTTTATTTCTGGTAATTTAAGTGTTATTTCTATGTTTTATTTTCTTCAATCAGGAACTCCAGTTATACAGGTGTTGGACTTTAGTATGTGTTCATTTTAACCACTTTTTTTCTCACCCTTTTAACTAACAGACCCCATTTTCATTTTCTAGAATGCTTTCCTAGTTTTTATCCATGTCTCTTGTTAAATTCTCATTTGAATTTGTTTACTTCTGGAAGTTTTCGTCATAACTTCAGAGATGAGTTTGCCTTTTTCTTTCTTTCCTGAGTCTAAAATTCTAGTTTTGCTTTTTCCCTTTCTTGTCCTTTTTTTTTTTTTTTTTTTTTTTAGTTTTTGAATTTTTGACCTCTCAGTCTTATAATTATTCAGCTTCATGACTTAGGAGAAGCCAGAAGAGTTCATGCAACTGAGGATGATTGGAGAGTCTCGCAAGGAAAAGGTGACAAGCTCAAACTAAAACACGTTTAAGACCTCACCAGGCAATTAGATATTATTGCTGGTAAAGATGAACAAAAAAAGAAACTCTAAATGAACATGTGGCAAAACGTGACTGTACTGAGGACCGATGACACAAGTGAAGTAGAGATTTAACAAATGCTACACACGACGTTACTGAAAGAGTCCATTCTTGGAGGTGACTGTGCTCCATTTGGACACTCACAGTAGTGTCTGGGGTTCACTGATCTGGAATCAGTGTCTGGATCAGTTGGTTTATAGTTTTCATCAAATTTGAAAATCTTTAAATATTTGTCAGATGCCCCTTCTGGGGACTCCAAATTGCCTACATACAAAGCCACCTGAAATTGTCCCACACCGCAGTGATGTTCTGTTCACTGGTTTTAAATTACTTATCTTTGTGTTTCCTTTGGACAGTTACTATTGCAATATTCACAAGTTCACCGATACGTTCTTCTCCAAGTTCTAATTTGCTGTTAATCTCATCCAATGGATTTTTCACCTCAGACAAAGTAGTTTTCACCTCTAGAAGTTCAGTTTGGTTATACCTTCCATGTCCCTTTTTGAATAAATGTAAGAGTTACTAAGCTGCAACGAACAGAACTTGTAGTTATAAATAACTAGTTAATGCTGTCATTTCTGGGGTAATTTCAATCAACTGATTTTTCTCATCATGGGTACGTTTTCCTGCTGCTTTCCATGTCTGGGAACTTTTGATTGAATGCCAAGCACTGTGATTCCTTGTTGGGTGATGGATATTTTGGTACTTCTCTAAATCTTGAGCTTTGTTCTTGGATGCAGACTAGTTACCTGGAAACAGTTTGGTCTTTTAAGATCTCTTAGGCAGGACTGAAGCAGTACTTAGCTATTTCCCACTATTAAAGCAAGATACTTCTATATCTAGCTACTCTACCCAACACCCTATGAGTCCAGGGTCTCCCAGTCTGGCTGGTAGAAATAGGTACCCTACTCAGCCCTGTGTGAGTGTTGGGCACCATCCCCTCTCATCATCTTGGCTGGTTCTCTCCCCAGCGTCCAGTAGTTTCCTCACATGTATGCACTGATCAATACTCAACTGAATATCTGAGGGGAGCCCCCACAGATCTCCAGTGTTCTTTCTGTGCAGCTCTCCCTCTCCAGTGCCCTGTCCTGCAAGCTAATGGGTCTTGGTCACCCCAGGCTCTCAGCATCATCTCTTCAACTCAAGGAGTTGGCCACGTTCCAACGGGGTTCCCTTCCCTCAGCAGCTATTTACATTCTCTTAAGGCAGTTAGCTGGGGCTGTCATAGAACTTACTTCTTACGTCTCATATGTCTCATGGGTTACTGTCCTTTGTTGCCTAATGTCCAGGGTCTTAAAAACCCTCGTTTCATATATTTTGTCCTTTTTGGGGCATTGCTTCAAACGTGAGGGTAAATCTAGTCCCTGTTACTCCATCTTGGCCGGAAGCAGAAGTACCCATCCTAGCTTCTGAATATGAATATATGTAGAATATAAAGCCACCCTAGGCTGATGAGGGCTCCTTACCTTATTAACGTGTCATCATCCACAATGACTAACCATGCTATCTTGTCATGGCTGTGATTCAAAAATCTTTCCAAAATGGCAAATGTCTTTCCACAATGACCTAGGAAAGGCAAAGAGAGAACTTACGATGTAATATTTTCTTTAAAATACATATAGAACTCATTTTAAACATGGTTATAGTTTCAAGGTTTTAAAAGTAAAAGCTTAACTGCTGACATGCACAGGAATAATCAGAAACTTAAAAAATTAGCTTCCTGTAATTTGCATAGGCCTCATGAACCAATGTGGGAGCTTTAGAGATCATGAAGTCTAAGCCATGTACTTCACACACTGGAAATCAGGGGACCCAGAGACGGGAATAACACAAGGTCACTGGGCTGATCGGAGGAGGGGCCAGTTATCTCCACTCCAGACAAAGTTGTAAGCCTCATGGAAAGTATAAGGCTTGGCACCTTTCCTTAGATGTCCTTAATCTGAAGGAACTTTTAGAACTCCAAGCGTTGCAACTAAAGGGAAACAATGGTACAAAAGCGGGATATTACACCTTCAAGTGTTGGCTTTATAAATATTTGCCATATGCTAGATACTGTGGCCGGTTCTGCCCTAAAAGTACAGTGTGGACTAAGTTACGGTTCTTCAGATGCCAACAGACAAACGTCACTGCTTTAATGGAAAATGCTGGGGCCCAAGCTAAGAATAAAATGCTTGGGAAGAGAACTCAAATCAGTAAACAGCCATCTACCCCGGATTGCAACAAAATATTTGGTGACACAAGAGAGAACAAGCTAATGTTAACTAATAGTAAACCACTCAATGTGACCTTTGTTTTCATTTTTCTTAGTCGCTTAAGGTATTTTTAACCATTATTTGAAGGCCATCTCTAATTCCTTTTGGAGCAAGGCAAAACAGGAATAGCAATAATAATGTCAGACTAAACACAAAAGAAGAAATCGAATAAGAAATATACGAGTAAGTGAATGTTAAAGGCAACCTAAATTGAAATCTAAAAAGCAAGCTTAACCAAAAAAACCTCAGTCTAAAATCATTTTTCCGAAACAAAGCAACAGACAGACTCAGTAATATATGTAACCTTGCCAGAAGAATTGATAACTACAGGAATGGCTTATCTGATTCTACTTTGTGCATTATCAATCAAGGCATTATGAGAGACACGACCATGAAATAATCCAGATAAATTACTCTTTAGAACAAGAAAATCAACTTACTACTTCTTTTTCTGCTCCTAAAAGGGTATGGGGAACCAGAAACTGAAGAAAAGAGTGTGACAGGAACACTAGATAAAAAGTGAGATGTGGGGCGCCTGGGTGGCGCAGTCGGTTAAGCGTCCGACTTCAGCCAGGTCACGATCTCGCGGTCCGTGAGTTCGAGCCCCGCGTCGGGCTCTGGGCTGATGGCTCGGAGCCTGGAGCCTGTTTCTGATTCTGTGTCTCCCTCTCTCTCTGCCCCTCCCCCGTTCATGCTCTGTCTCTCTCTGTCCCAAAAATAATAAATAAACGTTGAAAAAAAAAAATTAAAAAAAAAAAAGTGAGATGAACAAAGAGCGTCTGCAGGTAAGGTGGCCAGCTTTCTACTTGCATTTTTTTGAAATAAACAATGTTTTTAATTTGAAGCCAGAATCTGAAGACAAAAACCGGTGCGCTACCAATCATCACTAATTAAAATATTCACAAAATACATGACTATCACAGAGCTTACGCCACACATAACCAGTGCAAAACGTGGGTGAACACTACGCGACAATTACACACAAAATGTGAGCTAGACCATAAGCTTCATGAGGACAGAAACCATCGGCTTCGTTCCTATTTTCCCAGCTTCTGGGGCTGGCAAATAGCAGGCATAGAACAATCCTGGCGGGTTAAGCTGCTAAAATCCAATGCGGAGAAGCTTTGTGTGGAAAGATGATAAATTAACTGGGGACACTCCATTATGGTCACAATGAATTATGAAGGTATAAAAAAAAAAATCTCTTAAGTAATCCTAATTGTCATATGCTCTGTCCTATTGATATGGCCCAACCACTTCCAACCTTTCTTAGTGCTTATAAAGCAGCTCTTAATCTGAGAGAACTGGTCCATATCCCTGGGCAAAGACGTTGGGATTCGGGAAGGAAGTGAAACTTACGTAAGGCAAAAATCATAGAATTCTAAGACATTTCATTTTCATCCTAATTTACTCTCTTTCCAGAATGGACATTCTGAATAAGAGTAGTGAAAATTAAGGACTCACCTCTATCTGTGTTAGGAATCCCCAGATCTACTGTAGGAATAGAACTTTCTGCGTGATCACTGTAGTATTCAATGAGACTTGCCTGTCCTGCCCAGGTCTGCTTTACAATGGGGACTGAAATGAGAGGAGTGACGGTCACTGGCACAGTTACATAAGGAAGCTTAGAATCTCAGAAGGGCAGCATTACCACCTATAAAGGAAGAGAACCATTATTTGTTGTTCTTCAGGTATTCTAACGTGCTTGCTTTTCCCACCCTGAGAAATATCAGGTTGTTTGTCAAGGGCAGCAGGTGGACAGAACCCTCTTCTTGAGACATTTTCAGTGTACCTTAGAGCCCAATACTTCTCACTCCTGGTGACTCCACATTTCTCACGTCCATGTAATGATACATTTTCTAGTCTGATAATACTGTTGTGTTTAATTTTCCTCTTTTCCCCATAGGCTATTTCATTTACTATTCACAACTGGATTTTTAAAATGCTTCTCAGAGGGGTGAGGAATAAAATTACCTCTACGGGATGGGAATATTCTTTGTTTCTGGCTGAGATGCAAAGCTCTCTCCCTTACAATGAGGGTAGGAGGCTTCTCAAACTACACCCTAAGAGAACCACGCGATCCTATGGAGGGCACCACCCTACCACTGAGAGTCACTGCACTGAATAGCCAACAGGCTTGTGTTGTACTTTTGAAAAGTGCGGAAGAAGTAACATTGAGAACCACTACTGTATTTTTGACCTCTATCATTAACAGATAAATTTCTAATAAACTTTAAAAAAGAACACAGAAAACTTTCCAGGTTGTAATTCAGAGCTAACTTTAATCCTCTCCTGTCTCCACCCTTGATGGAATTCTGCCTAATTATGTGACATTAATTCACTTGGCCCAATATATAAGTATTTTCTTAGATACTTGTTTTTTAGTTACTGGCTGTGCATCTTTAAATTTTGAGAAGAGGTTTCTGTTTTTTAATAGAAAAAAAATCATCATATCTAGATATTAAGACTCTCCACCGCAAAGAATTTAAATCTTCAGGTCAGCATTTTGAGACTTTTATCAGATCATTTCTCTTTTTCCTTTTTCCCAGCCCAAATAAAAATGTATGCAAAAACTCCCAACGCACTGCCAAATCTAAGTGTCTGCCTCTGCGTGTCAACAAACTCAAAGTCAGACAGCCATTGTATATAAAATACCAAAGCACGCCATTTTATTCATTATTCGCCAGCTTTTAAGAAAGACCTATGAATTCTGGACATTTGTTATAATGTCTAAATTACCTATTGCAACCCACTAAATAACTTTTAGATCTTAAAATGTAATTCTTCTGCAATCAGAAAGGCAGAGATTTGCTCCTGTCAAAATAGACAACGATGCATAAATAAGAGATAACATAATAATAGAGAAGATGCATAATAATAGATGCGGCTGCTTGGGTGGAGGGGGGCGGGTAGAAAAAAATCCTCTTCCGTTCTACTTGCAAGTTCCAGCACAATAAGAATCTTCACCTTGGCACTGCAGTGGCAGTTTGCTTTGCATGTCACAAGCAGAGGACTTACCCCGGAAAAGGGCTCCCTGCAGCTTGCAGCCACTAAATGTTCACTCTTGGGTAAAATGTCCTCCCTTGCATGACTCTGGAAGAAGCTGTGAGGAGAGGTCAAGAATTTTCCTCAGTCCCCAGCACTCAGTGCTGCAAGCTGTGCAAAGTCTGCGTTCACGGTCCTCAGCCTTTAGCCCTCAGCTCCTGTCTGCTCCAGTAGCTTTATTAAACAGCACAGATCTTTCTTCTTGGCTGATTTAAATGCTATTCAAATCAAGAGCAAGTCCTTTGCTGCACCTAACTACCTGCTCTCAGGTTTTGTTAGAAACTGCTGAAACAGAAATTTCACTGAAGGTAAGAATTACCTCACTCTCCAACACCTAGCACGGTGGCCAGGATGTAGCAGGTGCTCGATAAATAGTTGAATGAGGACTGAATTTTGTAGAAGTTCCAACAAAAGGCTTGGGGCCGTTTGCGGAACTAGTGTTAAAGGAAGGCTTCACTCAAAAAGGCAAGCCATCATTTGGCACGAGACTGTTGCCACCATTTTAACATAGTAAGGTGTTACGGTTCTATTATCCCTAAAGCATTCAACAATTGTTATCGCCTGTCCCCTGATCATTATAACTCCTGAGGCATTTGTCGTATCTGGCAGCTGTAAAGAATTTAAAACTAAGGCTAAGTCTCCTGCAACCGCAGGTAAAGCCTTTATTTTCAACTGGGGGTGATTCCAAATTACCTAAAACTTCTAAAATACTGCTCTATTCTAAAATACTGGGCATTGTTTGAATTCTAGGTTGAATTCGTTCTATTTATAAGATATTCTATTTTGAGGTGCTATATCCCTAAAGATATTGAACTTAGAGAAAAGAGTTGCATATAGTCACGTGATCCATCATCTCGTTTTCGATACAGAGAAGCCTGCTTTCTACCACCTAATGAAACACTAGTGAATGCCTCTTTCAAGAAGGTTTGCCACAAGATAACTTAAAATTGGAGCAAAGTAAAACTTTACTATTAAAAAAAACCCCACTGCACAGATGGCATAAATCTTCCACATGGCTTTACAGACTCGAAGCAGGAGGAGATGTGTCTCGCTACGAGGCACAGAACACACATTTTTACCCCCGGTGAATTTACTTGCAAAACCCCGATGCCAAGTGAAAAATGAACGAGACCCTGAAACCCCGTGCGAAAACTGCCACACAATCAAACGTGAAGGGCTCCTGATTTTAGGAAATCTGCTAGTTTCAACGGACAAATGGACCTTTCTTCTCTGTATGCACGTCCACGACAAGACCCTGACTGCTCCTCTCTCCTCAGGGGAGGGCTAGAGACACACACCCCAAGGGTGTGTTATCATTCGCTCTTTGAAAGATGAGACATACGCAGAACTGAAAAGCAAGCCTCGCGGCTGCTCTCAAACAACAACATCTAAAACAGCCCGGAACCTCGCGATCTGTTCAACAGCCAGGGGGACAGCCGGGGGAGGGGGAGGGCAGCACCTGACTCCCGTCCTCTCTTTAATAAGTAATCGAATCACACCATTCGGCGCGGCATAGCCTTCTGTCTGGCTGCATTTTAATTCAAGCCTCGTGTTTTAAACGAGCAGAGCCTACCGCAGTACCCGGAAGCCTCTCTACTCGAAACGGCCAGCTACCATACGCTCCTTTCCATAAGTTTGTTCAGACCCGCCTCTTCTAGACAAGATGACTGCAGTAAAGAGAATAGGGTGGGTGGCTGTTTTGTGTTTTCCCATCTGAAAGGAAAAAAGTTTACTTTGAGGTGCTCACGAAGCTGTGAAAAGGAACTAAAGGCTGAGCAAACAGCAATGTTACCTCTTTAATCAGAGGAGGCTGCAGGAGGAGAGCATCTCACGACCCGCCACCTGATGAACAAACCAGTGGCCGCCACGAGACACTCAAGACACGCAGAGGAACGGCAGGGCCAAATGGTGCAAAGAAAGTTCTTTGCGTTTTCTGACAGCTCACGTCACCCAGTGGAAACACACATAACCCAAGAGGAAGTGAACAAGCAGAATATTAAAACTCCAGAGACCTTTTCCTTGCTTAAACATAATTTTACAGGCTATGCCTAATTTGCTTTATATAATACTTTTAAAGTTTCTTTCAAACCCCACTAACTGCGTGCGTCTCAAGAGTGTGTTGCTATTTCGATGGTGTCAATATGTATTTCTTTCTTAAGCCAAAAGATAGGATATATTTTTTGCTGTGTCCTAAGAATGCTGTATTTCGTTTAAATCAAAATCCAGGCACAAAGCAGTTACATAAACGTTGGTTTCACTGTTAGGCCAAAAAGGTACAAGATGTAAAATAATTTCTTTTTAATTTTGGGACTTGCCTTTATTATCCATTCTCCATTGAGAATATAAAAAATGAGTTCAGTGTATATTTCCCTTGCCTTGACTGGAGCCTTGAAGAGAAAGTTCCATCCCTCATCCTGGATGTGGCCAACGTTATAAGGAGCTGGGGTGGGGGGCATCGCTAGGGTCTGCTGCATCCAGGGGCAGGGCACCCACGCCACTAGCAGTATAGCCGACTCTCGGTTTTCCAAAGATAAATATACAGTCTTATCTATGTTTTTCTTCCCCTTGTCGTTTGGCCTTTGTAACTTCACTGTTCCTACCACAAAGTGCACAGGGAAAGAAAAAAGAAAAAAACCCACCCCAGTCTCTATATTCTGCTTTACTGTAGACTCTCATCCCTGTCCAAGCAGCTTGGTTTATCTTTTAGATCATCTGTGGATTTCAGTTCCTGGCTATCCCCATTGCTCCTGAAAATAAAAAGCCTACTTTCCCACCTTCTGGCCAAGTCAAAAATGACCTTGAGCCTAGCAGAATGTCAAAATGAATATCAAATACTATTTATCAAGTGTTAAGACTGTAATACATCCAAGGAGATTACACTATAGCTGTGCTGTGGCAGAAAGAATTTGGGATTTGGAGCCAGAAAACCCGAGTCCCAGCTCTCCTACTCAATAGTCTACAAGAACGTGGGCCAGTTGCATCTTGTCCCACACTCTGATTTCTCTACGGTATCAAAGGAATAACAACATTAATTACCACATCATGTGGAATTGTCAGTATGAACGCAGACGATAGAATGTACGTAAAAAACACGTCAGAAAATGCAGAAGAGGTCAGCAGAAGCAGTTACTATGGTGTTCTCAATGTAACTAATACGATTACTGCATAATTCTCTGGACCCACTGGTGGCTAGACTAGCCGCCCAAAAGGAGGAAAGGAGCCCCGTGGCCTACCAGGCTCACTTCCATCAAGCAATATGGACATCAAAGTCCCTAGAATCCTGCTGCCTTAGACCACCTTTTCAAACAAACATCCAAGTTTAAAGATGGCTTGCCACGGAAAGCCAACTGTGAAAGCCTCATGCTACCTTTTAAGTCTCAGGCTGCAGTGTCCTCGGATCCAAATTCATAGCAGCCAATCAACGCATCCAGCTTTAGGAGGTTTGGTTTCAACGCTCCTAACAGGCTTTGAAGACTTGTCATTTTTAAAGACCTTTGACTTAAAATTCAAACATAAAAGCGTTTGACGGAGATCTGAAAAGATGACCTCAAGCTTATGCCAACAAGAAGGCAATAAACTAGATCATTCAAAACTATTAAGTTAGCAAACTTTTTTTTTTCATTTCTGTAGAATATGAAAACTACAACAGGGATGGTCCCTAATTTTACTGCTTTACTGTCCATTGAAAAATGTCTCAAAAGAGACTATGCCACCGTCCTTAACATCAATATTATGAAAGCAGTCACTACTCCCAAGTGCAGCTTCAAGATCAAATAATATCAATTTGAACATTTCTGCTGGCTTAAAAAAAAAAAAAATAAAGCAGTCGCCTCATTCATTTCCTTTGATAATTTTTTGTAAGATATGTCAAAAATTGTCCCCAAAAGCCCTTCCTGATTTTCAAAAAGGAAAAAGGGTATTAAATCTAGGTTAAATTTGTGAATCATGAAAATGTTGACACTATGTTCATTTTTAATAGCCTTTAGGACTCCTTGCATAATGAGTGCATATATTAGGCCGATTTAATAGGACCTGGCACTTTATGTGGCTATTTTAGGTAAACATGAATGTTTATAGTTATGTACTTTTAAGAAACTGTTCATCATAACCAGATTTTAATTAATGTCAATATCCTAAACAATACTTGAATTCCAAATAATAATATTCTTTTATTTGGGAAATGTTCCCCTTTAAAACATAATTTGTAAGAATCATATTATCAAATAAATTATATAAATGAACTTCCCCCATAGCTCTAATCCCATGAAAACGACAGCTGGTTTAGAAATCTCTTCTACATAAATATCACACTCTTCATGAAATCGACAGTCTTTTCATGGAAAAAATTAAAATATATGCTAAAATTAGAAAATGCAAAAGACTGTCTAATTTTCAATTTCAGAAAAGTGCAGCTTGAAATAAGGCGAAAAAAGAAAAAAATTATGTCTACTTATATTTAGGGTGGGCTTTTTCTTTTACATTATCACCATAACTTAGTAGAATTCTGTAATGACACCAAAAACTTGAATAAAAACAACATTCGTCTGCATGCCAAGATTTCCTTAAGAAGGGACCACTGTGTATAAGCCACCTGCTGTCTTTTCCGTAACATAATCTTCTCGTGAGCACATACGTATTTTACTTTGAAAGTTCCAATGTGTGCATCCAACAGAAATGTAAAAAGAAGGATTAGTCTCCAAGAAAACATCCTTCACTGGCATTCTCTCACCTTGAAGTCCCCTCTAACATTCTTCGTACAGTTCAGAGACGAAGCATGGACAAAATAGGACGTTATTCTGCAAAATGGATTGTTATTCACACATTGTGTCCGAGATTACCACAGCTGAGATTTCCCATTTCCAATTTAAAACACTGCTCTGAACAGTATTCAGAAGGGCTAGGGACACTCATGTTTCAATACAAAACTATCCTTTCTAATTGATTCTGGTGACTGAAATGGTATGATGAGGAGTACTAATTAAATAACTGCTTTTCACTTCAATATATGTGTTCATTCTCCCTTTCTTGAGTTTGTATCTGGTCTGTACTTTTTTTTAAAGGCAGCTTGGATTTTAAAAGTTCAATAAAAATGAATGACACAAAACCTACTTCTGTCACCATGAAATTTCTTGCATGTTTTTACTGCGAAAAATATATCCTCTTTCTTCACTGGATGTCCCTAAAAGACAAGAAAACATATATGCACATATGAGTCTATGTTATATGACCATCCACATTCACACCCATGTCAGATATCACATGCTATGGAGGTGAAATTCACCGACGTCAAGGGTATCAAACCTGTTTCCAGGGTTCAGTTTTAGGGAAAAACAGGAACTGTAGTTGAGCTGACAAGGCCTCTGACATCAGCCAGACCTGGGCCCAAATCCCAGACTGCCCTATACACACTGTGTCACCCAGACAACAGTCTTCAGCTCTCAACTCAGTCGGCTCATTTAGAAAATGGTCAGAATAGCTACCAGTCAAGCTGCTTTTATTACTCCATTTATTAAGCACATTATAGCTGCCCAATAAATGTTAGTCACCTTCCCTTTCCTCTTCCCAGCTGGTGAAGATTTTGACAAAGGGAGAGAAGCAGGAGGATGTGTTAGTGTAAAATAGGAGCTGACTCCCTTCTGTGGGCTGGTCTTACTTTGATGTTGGAAGTATTTTTATGGGCCCTGTATTATCCACCCAAGTCTAGGCTACAGCAACATCCTGTCCTCTGCCAAAGGCAGGACTACTTCAAACACTTGGGGGGGGGGGCAATATCAGAGCCCTGAGCTGGCCCAGCCCAAGCTGACCACTCAAATGAAAGGGAGCACACAGGCAGACTGTGGCCAGCCTACACTCAAGGCCAGAGACTGCTTCGTGGGGGTCTTCTGAGCCCTTTATTACCTCTCTTAGGCCTTTAATAATATTCAGTCATGACTCAAACATCATTTGAGGGTTTAGAGTGACATCTAAGCACAGCTTTGGCATGTCACTCAAGGCACTAGGAGGCTGACCCCACCAAATTACCTAAAAGAGCATTAAAGAACAAGCAAACATCATGTCTAGAAAGATAGGCTTTCCCCTCAGGGACTGAACAAACATTACAGATTCTTCCTCATTACTGTAGTGTGTGCGTGTGTGCGTGTGTGTGTATACCTATAAGTCACCTTTGAAAATGTAACACACACACTTCCATATGACTGACTTGGGAAGAACAGACAACAGTTGAGGATGATGCATACATTTGCTTTATGAGGAAGAATTCAACAACCTAGTGAATTTCAGGGGTCTTCAGGCTCATCCTGGGGACTGAACCAAGGGTATGTCCATAACAAGTCAGTTCATTCTGAAAGTTCTGAACAGTCTCAGGTGAGATCAAATCAAGGTCTCCAGCCGAGAGGAGATGGGCTTGAGGAAAAGGCTTAGGTATTAACAGGAAATGTTTGAAATCACCCTTCTAGGAATATTCTAGTAGATATTCCAGTAGACACATGCTGTATCATCAAGAGAAATGACTCCAGGCGCACTAACTCTAAAGAGCTGTGGCAGGCAGTTCTGCACAAAGGCTCCAGAATGAGTCTGTGCGGTCACAGTTCCCACTCCTGCTCCCCAAGACGCGCTGTGTGACCTTGAACAAGTACTTCTCAGTACGTTTCTCTTCTGGTGCGTAAAACAGGGTAACAACAGTGCTTACCTTATAGGGCTGTTATTAGTAGAAACATGATATGTAGTTTTTACCTGGCACATAACAAATGTTGGGGTGTTTTCAATATACAGGTAAAGTGCTAGACAACATCACGCACAGCATGTAGATTTTCCTTTGATATGCAAGAAAGTCTTTCTTCTATTACTTACGCAAAGTGGTAGGAAAGAATGGAACGTGGTAGCACAGTAGGCATTCACAGCATCTGTACAAAACTCGGGCACCGAAGTAAGGGGACGCCCATGCCCTTTGTCCCAGATGTAGAGGGCAATCTGTCAGGACAGGAGACAGCAATGAATGAAGGAACTCAGCCAACACCACGACTGTTAGCACGAAATCTCTCAAGGGAAAGCAGACCACCTCTTCTACAGAGCATTCAGACTGAACCATATCAATCTGTCAGTATTCAACAGATTTATTTTTTTTACGTATAAAAATAGTAATCTCAGGTGGGCCAATCTAATCTTTTTTTTTTTTTAACGTTTATTTATTTTTGAGACAGAGAGAGACAGAGCTTGAACGGGGGAGGGGAAGAGAGAAAGGGAGACACAGAATCGGAAGCAGGCTCCAGGCTCCGAGCCATCAGCCCAGAGCCCGACGCGGGGCTCGAACTCACGGACCGCGAGATCGTGACCTGGGCTGAAGTCGGACGCTTAACCGACTGAGCCACCCAGGCGCCCCCAATCTAATCTTTTATTGACAGGAATCCACACTCTGACCACCAAACAATTCCAAAGTCGTCATAAGCAACTGCAGGGAAGTTATTTTAGGGTCTGTCAAATACTGCCGTGAAAGATGAAAGAAAATATAACTGGGAGTCTGTTTTTCTACAGTGTGGTAATTATATACCTTGACTAACCAACTTGTTGAAAACATCTAAAACTGTTGGATAAGAGATCTTCAAAATGATTTTAAATGGATTGCTAAATTGCCACAAAAGTATGGAACTTGTGAGGACAAACATGCAAAAGGAAGAGCCTGGGGATAAGGACAAGAAGGGTAATTTTCCTCAGTAGGTAGAGGACTCTGGTGATGCTGTTTCTGGTAGGAGTTAAAAAATAAAGACTATGATGCAGCTAAGGTGGGAGGTATCTGAGAGCAAACCCCACTATAAAGCTAGGACTTTGGAGCTAGATGGAGGGGAAAAACCATTTCCAGATCTCCTTTGAGATCCTGTCATCAAATCCCAAGCTTCCCTAATTTGTGCCACCAGTGTGGGCCAAAACACTTCAAACTGTAATTTACAGTGGTCAGTAGAACCCTCTAGCAGCAGGAAAAGCAAATGCAAATCATTCCCGGGGAACCCACACCCTTAACGTAGGACTCCAAGGATTACCACAGATACGGTTCCAAGCAAGACTGCTCAGAGGAAAATCATAAAAAGCACAGAGACATGAGCTGATGACCCAGAGCCAGGAGACAAACCTTAATCAGACCAAAAAGACTGCAGGTCTTGGAATTATCAAACATAGATTACAAAAGTACTGTGTTGAATATATTTTCATAAAGAAGTAAAAACTTTCACACGTCAGCAAAAAATGTGTTTAACGATCATATAAAATAAGCAAATTTGAAAAAGAAAGGACTAAAACTTTTAAAAATAAAAAAACAATTGAAATGAAAAATGTAATGGTTAGGATAAGTAGTATATTAAACACAGGTGAATAAAAAAAATTAGGGAATTAGGGGCACCTGGGTGGCTCAGTAAGTTAAGCATAGGCCTTCGGCTCAGGTCATGACCTCACGGCTCATGGGTTCGAACTTGGCAACGGGCTCTGTGCTGACGGTGCAGAGCCTGCTTGGGATTCTCTGTTTCTCTCCTCTCTGCCCCTACCCTGCTTGTGCTCTCTCTCTCTCAAAATAAATTTAAACAAATTAAGGAACTAAAAGATGAAGGTCCCCAAATTATCTGAAATAGCACAGCAGAAACGGAGGGGTGGGGGGGGGGGGGGGGACATAAGACAAAAGTTCAGAGAGCTAGCCCAGATCCAGGAGGCGATAGCAGACAGAATGGGGATAAGAACATACTTGAAAAGACAATGGCTACAAATCTCCAAAATTACGTAAGGGTCAAAGAATCCCAAGTGAGATTTTTTTTTTTTTTAAGTGTACATCTAGACATCTCATAGTGAAACTGCAGAACGCCAAAGACAAAGAAACAATCTTAAAAGCAGGCAAAGACAAAGGCAGATTACCTACAAAGAAGCCACATGAGACTGATGTTTATTTCCCACATCAATTGCCACGGCAATAACAGAAAAGCCAGAACACAGTGCAGTGACCCCACTGTGATGAGAGAAAAGGACAGACAACCTACGATGGTAAACACAAGGTAACTATGTTTCAAGAACAAAGCTGACATAAATGTTTCGTTCATTTGTTGTTAAGTAGGCTTCAAACCCAGCGTGGAGCCCAACGCAGGGCTTGAACTCACAACCCTGGGATCAAGACCTGAGCTGAGATCAAGAGTCAGATGCCAACTGAACCGCCCAGGTGCCCCAATGGAAGTGTTTTTAAGGGAAAAAAATGAGAATTGATGACCTCACTATTAGAAATTCTGAAGGACGTGCCTCAGCAAGAATAAAAATGATCCCAGCAAATACATAATTAAGCTCATACAAATGTTAACTACGCAAAGATAATATTTGAGGGGTTAAAAAAGATGCTGGACAACAAGAAGTATATAAATTGTGAGGGGGATAATCAGAGTTCAATTATTCTAAGTCCCCTGAATTTTTTTTTAGGTGATCAACTAGCCATTATTAAGAATGCATGTTAAAATATTTAAATGAAGGTACAGTAAGGCAAGATAAGTACCAGTAAGGTACAGATACAGAGACTGAACTTCCAAAATAGCAGAGAAGGACAAAATGGGAAAAGAAACAACAAAAAAACAGACATTTTAATTTTTTTAATGTTTATTTTTGAGAGAGAGAGCACAAGCAAGTGAAGGGCAGGGGAGGGGGGCGGGCACAGAGGATCTGAAGCAGGCTCTGTGCTGACAGCATAGAGCCTGATGCGGGGTTCGAACTCACGAACTGTGAGAACGTGACCTGAAGTCGGAAACAACTGACTGAGCCAGCCAGGTGCCCCAGAAAGTAAGGAAGTTTTTAAAATGAGCCAGATAAAATGAGGGGCAAGGGATAAAACGAAGTGTTGGGAATCAATTCAAATATAATGGTAATCATGTTCAATGTAAATGTGAATTTGCTACCTGACGTAAAGACAAAGACTGGCAAACTGGAAGAGAGAAAAAAAAAAAATAAGTCCTTTTTAAGAAAAAGACCTCTATGCTGAGCATAGAGCCTGCTTGACATTCTCTCTCTCTCCCTCTGCCCCTTTTTAGCTCACATGTGCACATGCTCTGTCTCTGTCAATCAATCAATAAGGACATAAAGGGGCTGTAAGAAAAAGATAAGAGAGAATTATGAACCACACACCAAAAGAAGGCTGGTAAAGAAATATTCATAACATTAAATACACATTTAATTCACATTAGGGCAAAGAGCATCACAAGAGATAAAGGTAAATTCGTAAGAAGACATAATGATTGTAAGCCTGTATGCATTGAGTTAACAGACTCTCGGAATATAAAAGGCAAAAGCTGGCAGTTACAAGAGGAGACACTGGCAAATCCACCATTATTAAGGAAGATTTTCTCATTCCTCCCTTAATAAATGACAGATCAAGAAGAGAAAAGTAGAAAGAAGGAAAGGAGGAAGGAAGATTAACCTATTAGATTAAACCTACTTCTCCTTTAATCTGATAAAGAGAATATTACACCCCCCCCCAATTATAACATATACACCTTTTACTTCACTGATGAAAAGGAAACATGAACTAGGCCATAAAGCAAACCTAAAAATATTTCTATAGACCACAACAATACCACGTTAGAGATCAGTAACAAGACGCAATAACAACACACACTGATATGTTGGGTCACAATGAACAATGTATTTTTTAAAGTGGGTCACAGTCAAAAAAAAAAATAGTTAAAGGGCCTCTGCCCTAGAGAAACACCTGCAGAGGATTGTCCTAACACACATCCAAAATGCTCATAGAAGTAATGATTATAGTAACAGAAAAGTCATGGCAATCCAGAAGCCCACCACCAGGAGAATGGATAAGTAAACTGATATAGTCATAGGAGAGACTACTGCAGGCAGTGAAAATAAGTTCAGTAGGGCTGCACGCAGCAACACGGATGAGTTTCAAGTCAGAACAATACTCCTGGTGCAATTCTGTTTACATGAAGTCCAGAAGGATACAAAACTGCATGACATGGGGGCACCCGGGTGGCTCAGTCAGTTAAGCGCCCGACTTCAGCTCAGGTCATGATCTCCCAGTTCTTGAGTTCGAGCCCCGCATCGGGCCCTGTGCTGACAGCTCAGAGCCTGGAACCTACTTGGGATTCTGGGTCTCCCTGTCTCTCTGCCCCTCCCTCTCTCACACTCCATGCCCCTCTCTCTCTCTCTTTCCAAAATAAACAAACATTAAAAAAACTGCATACTATGTTATTCAGAGATACAGTCATATGATGAAAACTATGAAGAAAAGGAAGAGAGAATTCAAGGAAGTGTTTAGTGAGAATGAAGGGGACCCAGGAAAGCAGCACTCAGGTAGTCTCCAAGCGACTGATGATGGGCTAGCTCATAAGCCAGGAGGTGGGCTTTTAGATATTGTGACTGATCCTCATACCTTTCACGTGGGTTAGAAATATTTTCTGTGTGTGCTTAATTTTTAATAGATTCCTGAACCTGGGTATCTATACCAAAGTTGACTTTTCATTAAAAATATCTAGGCAGGCCTGCACTCTCAATTAATCGTTCTTTCCTTTCTATGGCAAAGAATGATTTTTTTACATGTATGTTTCTCCTCAAATAGGCTATTTCATCACATTCCAACACCTGAGAAGGTAAGGTGCTGCGAGTGCCCTTATTTGCTCCTGGCAGCTTGCCAGGAGCACATGTCAAGGTTGACCCCACCGTCCCAAGTACAGATTCCTGCAGAGGGAAAGGGGGGGCCATTTTAGGCAGTGAGATGCGCCTGTGAATGAAACCCACAAAGAAACCTTCTTAACAATGATGCAGGAATGATTCATGATGGGACCCCTGCATCTAGGACGACGGGTCACAGATGTCCAGTAGATGCCAGGGGTGCTGGGGTCCATCCAGGCTGGCATGCCGCAGCTGCCTGCTTAGGGCCAACTGCCTCAGTTCTGCCCCAGAGGGCCAAGGACAGGGACATGACCGAGGCATATGTACGACCAAAGCACCGAATAAGCCCAAAGGTACTTTTGCGACATTTGTGCATGTTTTTAGAAATCCGCCTCTGCACTCATCCACCTAGCTTTAAAAAAAAAAAAAAAAAATTAAGACTCACAGATGCAACCTTTTCCACTGTTCCTTCTCCACCTACGTGATGAAAGTGAGTTTAAAGAGAAAGACCTAATTTGCTGGGGAAGAATTACGTTGGTGGGGAGAAAATGTATAAATGCATCGGGAAGGGATGCGCTGGTAGGGAATCAAAAACACCTTTTATAGCAAAACACGTGAATTCTCAGTTGCTACAACTTTTAAAAAAGAAAACAAGACGTACCTCATGTTTTAAATCTATTGTGAAGTCGGATTTCAGGGATTCACTCCTTAACCTCTTGGTAAGCCTAGAAAACAGATACAATTTGAGGCCGTTTTCTTTTTTGTCATCAGAAGGAGCATGGAACAAGAACATTCTCGAGACCTCCTAATGTTTGAAAACAGATACAAGGACACACTGTAACATAAAATTAAGAGTTTTAGGGGCGCCTGGGTGGCGCAGTCGGTTAAGCGTCCGACTTCAGCCAGGTCACGATCTCGCGGTCCGTGAGTTCGAGCCCCGTGTCGGGCTCTGGGCTGATGGCTCGGAGCCTGGAGCCTGTTTCCGATTCTGTGTCTCCCTCTGTCTCTGCCCCTCGCCCGTTCATGCTCTGTCTCTCTCTGTCCCAAAAATAAATAAACGTTGAAAAAAAAATTTAAAAAAAAAAAATTAAGAGTTTCACATTCCCTTGAGGCAAAGCACTTGTGGAAATGGAATTATTTGTTGACCAGGAAACGAACACAAGCCTTTTTGCAAATGGAACATTCATTGTTTCAACATCTGGCAAATAACGTAAAATACACTATAATAAACTAAATACCTTACAAACAAAGCCACAAAGTTTGGTGACTCCTGATAATCTTGACACCAAATACTGACAGAGAAGAGAACAGAAAAGAAAAAAAAAAAAAAAAAGAACTTGCATGACAGAGAAACAAAAGTTGCTACTTTTCAGTCTCCTTCTTTTAATAACCCAAAGGAACTACAGTTTGTGGAGTTTTTAGGGGGGAGAGAGAATGTGGTTTCAGGGAAGGAGAAAAAAAAAAAAAAACATTTCCAGTCCCTTTCTTGGTTAAAGGGTTAAAGAAATCTTCAGCAGTCCTTTCGGTGCAGATGAGAGCACCGCCAGTGCCCAGCTTCCTAGTACCGACCCAGCACTGTACCCCCCACCCCGAGTGCACACCTGCCCACGCCTCTCCTGCTGAACATCTGCCTAGCACACCCACACCCAAACCTTACCTGGCAAACCTTTCTTCCAGATCAAACTCAAGGGCACTTTCTCTGCAGAACTTTGCCAGACTTGCCCACCAGCATAAGTGGAAACTTCCTTTGCTCCCAGAATAGGAAGGAAGCTCCATTATTTTGATCACATGTGCGACATCCTGTTGTGTGTAAGTCCCCTTCTGTGCCACAGCTTCTTTGTCTGGCCAGCACCGCCCGCCCACCATGCCTGGCCAAAAGGAGCACTCGGGAAGCTGCCTGAATGAATGAGGGCAAGATAGGCTTTGATTCCAAGCTGGTGGGAAGGAATTCCGTACGTAACCAGGCCGCTGAAATACATACGGTTCTGTATTTGTGACAGGGCTAGAGACTAGACCATCAGTCTCAATTACAACCCCCCTAACACATACTTTAACTGGAAAGAAATCACAGTGATTTTTAAAGGAAAAGTAGTAATAAGTGTCAAAACTCTTTACTGAGTTTTCAGCCTCATTGAGCCACAAAGATTTCTTTAAAAATTTACTTCTAACTCGAGGAAAGATAAAGAAGGACACAGGTTATAATTTGTGTTTAGTATTAAAGCATTTGTCTCAGGGTGGATACTAATGCAGCTCGGCAGCAGATAGCTCCAAAAGCAGCCCGCGGAACCTCGGTCACATTCCTGTGCAATTCCTGCCCACAGACCTGTCAATAGGAGTGGGTGAGGACACGTACAGAGACAGCATTCTCAGATATACTCCCGATAGACAGTGAGAGAAAAAATTCTGCCCTGGCATGGCATCTTGTCCAGTCTGATTTCTGTTCAGTTCGAGCCAGTTTTTAACTTTGGAATCTGAACTCCTGCTAAGTGCCTCCAAACTCTGATCAGATCACCTTCATACCTGGGCTTACTGCCACAGGCAAGGGACACAGAATTGTGACAGGAACCAAATGGCATGTGACATCCATTGTTAGATGGCCATGCATGACAAGCCCCTTCTTACTAGACAATAAGTACCTCCGACTTGTTACCCTCAACGTGCTCTCTACTTTTTTGACTTTTCAAGTTTCTCATTCCATTCTTGAAAATCTGTATTTGGGGGCAATCTCAGAGAGGCAACACTTGAAGACCACTGATAGAATTTCTTTAAGATGAAAAAGATATATATACGGACCTTTTTTTAAGTTTGTTTGTTTGCTTGTTTGTTTGTTTATTTAGAGAGAAAGAGCACGAGCAGGGGAGGCGCAGAGAGAGAGGGCGAAGAGAGAATCCCCAGCAAGCTCCGCAATGACAAGATTGTGACCTGAGCCAAAACCAAGAGCCGGACGCTCAACCTACTAAGCCACCCAGGCACCCTGTATACTGACATTCTGTGGCTACGTCTAGCAGCCCGTGGAGTCTACCATAACCTTAAGTGATGGTTACCTCAACATCACCAACTTCATGTCAATGAGTCGGTCTCGTGAGCATAAGTCGGTCACCTTGAAAATATGGTCAAGTCCTAAAAGTGTGCAAGGCATTCCTAACTTAAAAGGCAAGTCCTAAAATGGGAACTAGGTTTCACTTTTCTATACAAGACAGCACGAGGGTTTTCCAAACGCTAAGTGCAGTGACCAACAATACCAGGAAAAAAAAAAAAACAATTAAGGGCAGAAATTCCAATTACTTTGATAAAATATTTCCTCATTAAATATTCAGTTCCTGGAAAATAGGACATTTGATATTCAGCTTGCCTATTTTTAGAAGGCATTAAGTCATGTCCCAATAATACAACTCTAAAGACACAACCACCTAGACTGGAAATTTGCAACAGACAGAGGGCCTCTTCAACTTCAAGTTCCTAGCTGACTTTTACAGTCCCATTCGTCAGCTAGTCAAAAGAGCAAACTATTGAAGGAAATCTAGGTAAGTTTTACTGGTGGAAAAACAACAGAAAAAAACAGTAACAGTGTTCTGTAAAACCACCTATTTGAAAAGATCGTCTTATTGTAAATGTCTCCAAAACTGCAAGTACTTTTTTATCGATGCTATTGTTAGAAGATCACACAGACGGATTACCAGGAAATGTTAGGCAGTGTTAATCCAAAACTCACTAACGTGGGATTACTAGGGCAAATGTTTTTGGTGGGAAATAGTCTATAAAAGTGTGTGTCGTAAAATGTTTTTAAGTAACCAGTTTTTCTGATGACTGGAGCAGGAGAAATACTTAAGCAATGGTTAACAGTTGCCCTACCTACCGAGTGGGCCATAAAGTCAAGAAAAGGAGACAAAAGGTGGGGGGGGGGGGGGGGCCGACTTCAGTTAAGCGTCTGACTTCAGTTCAGACCATGATCTCATGGTTTGTGGGTTTGAGCCCCGTGTCAGGGTCTGTGCTGACAGCTCAGAGCCTAGAGCCTACTTCAGATTGTGCGTCTCCTTCTCCCTCTGCCTCTCCCCTGCTCTCTCTCTCTTTCTCTCTCAAAAATAAATAAACCTTAAAAATTAAAATTTAAAAAAAAGGAGACTCCTGTAGCGGGCACTGTTGACTGCCTACACAATATAGGCGCTTCCTCTTCCTTCTTCCTAAGAGACTTCTCATTTTGATTAAATTATTGAGCCCTATAAATGGGCTCCAGGGTCAGAATTCGTTTGATCCCAACCAAAGCACTGAAATTCCCTGCAACCATTAATGGTCCAGGAGTTGGTACATGCCTAAAGTTGACCCCACCAACCGCGAGCAGACAAGATCCAACTAGAGACTGAAGATAAGCACTTACATTCCATGGTTAGAGAGCTTCTTCGCTGCTGAACATAAGATATATATCCAGAAAGCCCTTTTTGCCTTGAAAATCAACAAAGGGAACCAGATTTAGGATGAACTAATGATGTATGTGGTTGCAGGATGCTGTGTACTAAGCATGAGAGAGACAGAACCAGCATCCTCAATAACAGGGCAGAACCCCTACATCGGCCAACACAGACCTCACCTTCCAGTTACAGTAACGACATCTTCTTAATCCAGCATGCTAACTAATATAGTTTCTAATAACAGGGAGAAACAGCACATTAGCTTTGGAACTGGGAGAAAACAACTGGGAAGATCCAATGTTGCAGCCAGTGGGGCTCGTTGATACTTTATGCCTCTTTTAGTTCTAAGAATAATACCGGGTTCTTAAAGAATGTATAGAATCTCCTATGAGAAAACCATTTCTAAATAGATCTTGGCCACAGGACAGTTGCTATGCTAGATGGGTTACATTGTATTTTGTTTGATTACTTGCCTGCATCCCAAGAGACAGGAAGTATGGTAGAAGACACCACTATGGTAGAGCCCACATTTTCGTTTCGTTTTTGTTGGCAGGGGAAAGGGAGGGGAGGCACACCAAAGACCACGGATGTTAATTAACTACAAACATTGTGCAGCTTGTTGGCAACCGTTCAGCGTTGTAAAAGCAGACGACACGGAATGCAGAAGGCTGACTGGTGCCTTACTCCTCTATCATGCCAGAGCTATGGGGAAGGGCTGGACATTTCCTGAACTTGAACAAAAGACCAGCCTTTTGGCCCCAATTCCCTTAGCCGCAGTTCCTTACATACCCCGCTGCAGTGGGGCCCTCGGTACTCAGAGTAAGCTGCCGCTTGCCCATAGATGTTTTCAGCGACCTCGTAAAGAGGACGAGAGAAGCACGTGCCCGTGGGACCACCTCCACAGAACACCAGGTCATCCATAACACAGTCTCCCCTTAATAAGACCAGTATCTTGGCTAGTGCAGAACCTGGAGCACCGGTTTGCAAAGGCCCCGGCAGTGAGTCAGTGGTGAGCATGAGGTAGTTATGAGCGTAAGCCAGAGCCAACCGAACCTGCCAGGGCTTGGGCTGCCTCTACATCTTATAAGCAGTGAAGCCGGACGGCAGAATTCATAGACCCAAGAGGTTTTGAAGAACAGGTTATGCTTTATTGCCTGCAAGGCAAGCAAGGAGTTGGGCTAAACGGTCCTTTAAGAGGATTCTAGGAGGCAAAGATGGTGCACAACAGAGACTACTTTCACTCACGTGGTTTAAAAGTAAGTCAAGGGGCGCCTGGGTGGCGCAGTCGGTTAAGCGTCCGACTTCAGCCAGGTCACGATCTCGCGCTCCGTGAGTTTGAGCCCTGCGTCGGGCTCTGGGCTGATGGCTCAGAGCCTGGAGCCTGTTTCCGATTCTGTGTCTCCCTCTCTCTCTGCCCCTCCCCTGTTCATGCTCTGTCTCTCTCTGTCCCAAAAATAAATAAATGTTGAAAAAAAAAATTAAAAAAAATAAATAAATAAAAGTAAGTCAAAAGGAAAGCAATACTTGGGGCGCCTGGGTGGCTCAGTCGGTTAAGCGTCCGACTTCGGCTCGGCTCATGATCTTGCAGGTTGCGGGTTCAGGCCCCGCGTCGGGCTCTGTGCTGACAGCTCAGAGCCTGGAACCTGCTTCAGATTCCGTGTCTGCCCCTTCCACGCTCATGCTCTCTCTCTCTCAATAATAAATAAACGTTAAAAGAAATTTAAAAATTTAAGAAAAAATAAAAAGGAAAGCAGTACTTAACAGTTATTGATTACATCTAACTCAGGAAAAGGCGAAGTGCATTCCGTATCAAGGCACCACCAAGGTCCTTGCTAGATGGGGGAGGGAAAGAAAGTGAAACTATAAACTACCGGATTTGTTTCCCAGATGAGTGGCTTCCTGGATCGGAAGGGAGATACGAGGAGAGGGTTATACGGGCTTCAGAGAGATGGTTACAGCCCGGGCTTGCTGCCCAGGGTCACAGGTCTCTGGGTTTCTCTCCAGCCCTGGGAGAAGAGTGTGGCGTCTGCGCTCGGAACAGTGCACCGCACAGGACAGGGTCAGCTGTACTTGTCCCTCTCTCGGGGGACTTGGTCCTCCGGGAAACAGAAGACGACAGACTGACGAAGAGCTTCTGAGTCACAGTCGGAGAAACCACAGCCACCAGAACTTCTGCAGAGAAGGCAGCCCCCATAGTTCCAGGCTCTGAAGCCACAGGGTGAGGACAGACCCAGAGGAAGGCGACCGCCGGGGCGAAGAGTCCCGAAGGCCCAAGGAACGGCCGAGGGGCTGCGGTGTGCCACTCGTGGCTCCGGAGAGTCCAGACAGAACACAGGGAGCTGAACTGGGCCCAAACACAGGGCTGCAGGACATACTGGGAGAAGAGTGTCCTGGGGGCTCCCGCTCTTCGAGCGGCAGCAAACCCAAGCTGAATGAATTTGGGAATAAAGATGACCCTGGGCCGCTGAAACGCAGGATTTCCCCCTCACCCCTGCAGAGAGCGGAGAGCAGAGCCAGGCCAACCAGTGCAGGGTGAGAAGGAAATGACAACTCTCTCTTCTCGTTGCCCCTCCCCTCCTGCCCAGCCCCTCCAAGAATGGGCCGGGAAAACGTATGAGCCCTCCTAGGCATGCCTGGCACAGGCTGGGGGCAGGGCGTCCTTGCCCGCGAGTCTCAGGACGGGTCTATGGGTCACGCGTTTTAGTCGGAGATAACAGAATCCACTCTGGCCAGTTTGGGCACAAAGTGCACTTATTAATGCATATAGTTGGCTGACAGAATTACTGGACAGTCTGAATAGAGAGGCTCGAGGCTGAGATCCCCAGGACGACCTCCAGATTTATACTCCAGAAATGGGTCGTCAAGGAGCTGGGGCCTCTGCCACCGTCAGGAAGTACCGTCTCGGCTGCCAGCCCCCAAAGGACTCCTCCTCTGTCATGACCTCTCAAGCCAAATGGACCACCAGGCACCGTCTCCTTCCCCATATGACTGAGTGCATCTGCCTAACGGAGCCCATCTCACTTGGCTGCTCTCTAACAGCAAGAAAGGCCACACAACATGGAAGTTTCGTTGTTACTGTCCCTTTGCGGATTCTACATTGGGAAGGAGGGTCTTACACCGTTAAAAAAACAAAAAACAAAAAACAAAAAAAAACCACTTTCCAATGTCAAGGGAGTAGTCACCAAGTGTTGGCCAGCCGCAAATGAGAAGGTAGGACTACCGTGCCTACCCAGCCCACATCCACCACGGGCTCAAAAGGTTTCTGAGACTCTGAACCCCAGAAACAACACGCCCAACGTAAGAAATAACAGAAACCCTCCATCTTTGAAGATACAAAGGCCACAACTGCTTTACCAACTTTCTCTTCCCTAAAGAACAAAAAACACATAATAATTAATCTGAAGCATTCAAATTAAAAGCCTGTCAACAGTCATGGTTCTCCTGAATTACAACTTAATTATCTTTCCTTTTCACCTTGAAAAAAAGCATTATTGTGATTATACACACAAATATCTGGGCCCGAATAGCTATGGAGCCTCTGATTAAGTGTCCCTCTTGCCTGGCCCATGTTTAAACGTGTGTACCCACGCACATAATCTGTCATCAGCTCCCACCCCCGGGCAATGTTACTGATTCATCTTCTTCCTGACAATCAAAATCACATCTGTAGCTAACCAGATCCATTAATAATAGTAATAACCCCTCTGGGTGTAGAGTTCTCAGAGTACTTATGTGCCCTCCCTTGGTCCCACAATTTATTATTCACCTTATTTTGCAGGTGAGGAAAAAGAAATAAGGAAGGGGTGAGTCATCAGTCTGAGGGCACTAGTAAGTGACAGAGCAGAAGCAAGAACCTCAAGGTTCCTCAGGCTCCTGTTCCAGGTCCTCCCGCCCCACCACACACTGTCTCGGGCTGCAAAACTCACTTGGGATCCATCAGTTACAGGACTCAGTGAAACAGAAGTTGAATCACGCACACACACACACACACACACACACACACACAAAGTCTAGTAAATCCTTACTTGTTTACAAGTGGAATACTAAGAGCCCAGCCAGCAGCGAAGTCTGGATATTTAAAAACGGTAGGATTTTCAGAAAAGGCATAATGGTGAATTATTGTAGATTCTTCATCATGTAATGCTTTTCCTAAAAACCATTCCTGTCAAATAAAGATATAAAATGTCATTTTCTTAAAAAGCCATTTCATATAGGACCAAAAACAAAGTCACGTCATTAATTTTAGTTAATTAAGTCCTCTGGGCGATAGAGAATTAGCACAGATTATGACTTTCTAAAGCATTTTAACAAAAATGCAATACTCTATGATAAGCAAGACGTCATAATCTTTACAAAGAGAGTAGCTTAGTATATTAACAGGATCAACGAAATGGCATCTTTATGCCATAAACATGTAGAAGTGGCATTTTATAGAAAATTCCACATCAAAATACTATTAAGGCAAAGAAAACAGTGTTCCTTTATGCCATACTGAGGTCTGCAAAGGAGAATCTGAAAAATCCCTTCCAGAATCAGTGCCTATTTTATTCATTTATTCATTCAATTAACATTTAACATTTATTCCACATCACGTGAGAACGCAGCTTATGCAATAGTGGGGGACACAGAAAATAAGTAAATAAAATAAATGTGCTGTGATGAAGACAGAGTACCCAGGGACTTCCCGGCAAAGAAACGGAAACCTCTCATGAGCTAACATCTGAACTGAGAGTAAATAATACCAAAGGGCCAGCTATGCACAAATCCAGGGAAGAGCCATCAAGGCAGTTAATACACAGTCCCAAGGTGAGAAAAGCTTGATTCCTTAGATAAAAAAGGAAGTCCAATGTGGCTGGAATACAGTGGGTATGGGGAAATATGGTATGAAAGACACAGTCAGGGGACAGCCGAGGGTGCGTTTTAGACGCCCGTGGAAAGCAACACAGACTTTACTCAAAGTGCGGTAGAAGACTTACACTTCTGGCCACAACAGAATAGCCTGGATCGGACCCGCTCTCCCACTGAGAGCAAGTATTAAAGCTGGAGAAAACACTTAAACCAAATAATCACGGGCATCGGAAAACAAAGACAGAGAGTAGATGAAGAAAAATATCCGAGAAAGAAGGGAAGCCCATGCATGGGAACCCCATAGTCACTCCCCCCAATGGAATTTGCTGGTTCCCATAGCAGCCAATGGCACACAACAGAAGGCAGCAGCTGGGACCGTGCAGCCTGCTGGACTGAGACAGCGGTTGGGGCTGGCGGCTGCCAACAAGGTAGAGATTTAAGTGGATCCAGAGAAAGGTGTCCCAAATTCTGCATATGATTTCCCTTCAACTCCTAGGCTAAAAAAAAAAAAAAAAAAAAAAAAGGAAAAACAAAAAAATAAACAAATAAACAAACAAAAACCAAGAGAAGAACCAAGTGGAAAGCAACAGTAGAGGGGCCTAATCGCTGACCAAAAGCTCATGTGCAGGATCTGCTGGAAGAAAGGGATCTAGGAGTAAGGGCAATCTGTATAATAGACCTACCTAAACATGGTCTACAACCTGGGAAAATACTGCTCGTATGGAAAGGAATATCATCCACAGCCTCTTCAATTTTTCACATACGGTATCTAGCATTTAGGGGAAAACTACCACATGTGCCAAAAACACAGCACCAGAACAAAAACAGAGAGAAATGAGATGAACAGATAAATCATATTCTTCAGTTATCAAAAAATAAGTAGTATTCACATATTTAAGGAAATAGATGAAAAGATAAAGAATTTTACCAAAGAGCTAGAATAAGAAACAAAAGTCAAATGGAAATTCTAAAACTGAACACTGCAACTGAAATTAGGAATTCAGAGGATATTAGACATAAGAGAAGGTAGGATTAGTGACCTGGAAGATAAGTCAGTAAAAAATATCCAGATTGATGTATAAAAAAGAAAACGAAAGGAGGACAATACAGAAAAGAGCATAAAAGCAATATGGGACAGAGTAAGAAGGTCTAAAACCCATGAAAAATTGGAAGACCAGAATAGGAGGAGAAATAGCATGAAACTGAGTCAACATTTGAAGGAATACAGCCTCAGAATCTTCTAAAACTAACAAGAGTCATCAAGCCGTAGATTCAAGAAGCTCCCTAAACACCAATAAAGATAAGTACAGAGGAGGCCACAGAAGGAGGTGGTCAAAAAAACCAAAGGTACAGAAAATCTTAAAAGTAGCTTGAGGGGAAAAGGGTGGACACATTTCTTTTAAAGGAACTAAAACAAGGCATATGGTTGAATTTGTAAGAGAAACAACAGAATGTGAAAGACAACAGAACAACGTCTTTACAGTGATAGAGGAAAATCACTGCCACCCTAAAATGCTGTATCAAGTGAAACTATCTTAGCTGGAGGTGGAGGCTTTTGAACAGGTGCGTGGTATGATCTGAATGAGAGGCGAGATTATCAGGATTATTAGGCTAGATTATTGAGATGCTAGCTTATTAGGATGGCAAGAGTAGAAACCAAGAGGCCAGTGAGGAGACCCTAATAATTGTCGAGGCAAGAGAGGATGGTAGCCTGGACCAGAGCAGTAGTATTAAATATGGAGAGAGGAGGAAAGAAAATGTATTTTGGAGGTAGACCCAATGGAATATGCCAACATGGGGTTGAGGGAAAAAGAGGAATCAATCACGAGCCCTAGGTTTTTTTTACAGGAGCCCCGTGGATGGACCATGATGCCATTTCTGAGGTGAGGGAGACTGAAGGTGGGAGAGGTTTAAAAAGGGCATTAGAGTTCAGTTTTGCACATGTTGGATTTGAGATTCCGATGAGACAAGCGGAGGTATGAAGCAGGCAGTCTGACCCAGGAGCAGGCCACGCATGGCTCACTCCCTTGGTTCCTTCATATGCTGTTCAAAAGTGACCTGATCAGCAAGGTATTCCCTGAACATCCCATACGGAATAGTCAGCCCAACCCCATTCCATCCCGTATCGCTCGCATTCTGCTTTCTTCTTCTCCGCAGTTCTTATTACCACCTGACACGCTGTTTGCACGCTGTTGCACAAGAAAGCTTCAAAAGGCAACTACCCTATTAAAGAAGCGAAAGTAATTAAACCAAACACCCTAAGTCCTAAATGCTTTGCATATTTTCTCTATTTCAACCATCACCACCTCACTCTCGGCTCCTTATCAGAAAAACGAGAGCAGGAGGGGCACGGTGTTGTTTCTTCTGCTTATGGGTGTGTCCCCAGTACCTCCCAGGCTCTTGGTTTCAGTCAATTCAGCAACAGGTCCTAACTGAACACACGTAAGCCATCAACAGAACTGTGTGTGAAGGTTACAGAACTACATCATGAGCTTCTTCCCGATGCTTTATGGAGATTTTAGGTCATCACTGGGCAAGAGGGATAATTATAAGGCAAATGGCTTTGGCTTAAGATAGAAAAATTCGTGATCCTTTTTAAATAATCAATACTATAGCACTTTATCAAACTGCTAAATGTTACCCAACGTGAAAATCATCACATTTAACCTACCCTGTCGATATAGCTTGTTTAAAGAAAATAAAACACTCCAGGAGATTTTCAGCACCTTTCTCACGAACGCTTCACTGTTATAATCTCCTGTTGCAAATACAATTTTATGCAGAACATGTTTCTATGTTTTAACTCCTAATGGCAGTGTCCAGCTATTATCTAGTATATAAGATCGTTTTCCAATATTTGGAAAGGGAGGAGATACTGTAAACTAATTTAAGGGAGAAATTAAGATGGAATCTGTTGGAAAGGGCACTTCCCCTATCCTTCTTAATGATTTTCTTAATAGCTTCATAATAAAGACAATTATAATCAAGATAAACTGTAAAGGAATAACTCAGAGAATGTTCTATAAGTATCAGAGAAATACTCTTTACCAGCACCCTGGTTCCACCTCTATTAAAAAAAAAAATGTCAAGACATTTCAGCAAACGCATGCTCACATTAAAAGCAGACGGCAGGGAAAAAAAGAAAGAATCCAGCAAGACACAGAAATTTATAGAAATCACCTGGAAAGGCAGTTTAACAAAGATTAATTACTTTAATAAAGATCAAAATTTCTCATTTAAAATATTGTATAACAGCATAAATTTGCATAAGAATGACACAGATATGGAAGGGGAAAAGACATCAGAATCCAAAAAAAAAAAAAAAAGGCTGATGCTCTAACATACGACATTATTATTTTAATAGAGTTTATTTGTGTCACTGGCAAAGCCGGGTTGGCTTTATAGCTTTGTTTCTAAAATTTCAAATGGTAGGGGGGAAAAGCACACTGGCTTGAGCTAACTTAAACATTATGTAATCTTTATTTCCTAATGCTAGTTTCAAAAGAAATAAAGCATCCTAGATTTCTTTTTTAAAGGCTGAGTTCAGAAGAGAGGAGGAAAGCATCTCATTTTACCTCCGTTCTGTACTTGCTTTTCATGAACTCGCTGTGAACTTTTAAATTTATCCTTCCAATTTTCATTAAAAAGCACAGTGAGTCACCATCTTCTGCACAGAATTAGAGCTATGGATAATGGAAAAATAATCTCCAGGTGAAATGAACACTAGGAGGAGATTAAAACTCCTATATCCTAAAAAACATTTGGGAGTTCTTCTCGAGTCAAAAGGAAACATAGCAGCCTAACAAATGTTTTACACGCAACATGGCCAAAGTACATGGATGCTGGTTAGCATCATCTGAAAAGACGGGATGAGATGCATTCGTAATTCTCTTCTCCTTCGAAGGATTTTTCTTTTTAACCCGACAACCTGCTCATTCAATTATGTCTGTATCTTCCCAGAAAGCAAAAGCACAAAAAGGAACCATAATGGACCCTTGCGGCTTTTAAAGAACATCGAAACCAGTGGTTCTGTTAAGGTAACAAACTTTCCAGTGTTTGAGAATGGTCACTGGTGCCCAACATCATTCATCGACATCAACAAACCAAGCAGACACCCAAGAAGCCACTTTTCCTTCCCCACACTCTCATTAAGCCTGATTTAGTTCGGGAGTGGGCACCAGAAGAGGGGTGGGGCAGGCATCCAGTGGTACCCCAAGGGCCCACTTCTGTTTATTCCAAGTTTAAAGATTCCACGTGGTGATCAGGGTATAACCCGGGCTTCTCCAAGAGAACTGCAGACCTGATGACTCTCACCATGTCTCCAAGACATCCTCCTGAGACGCAACGTGGGCCATCAGGAAGGCGGCCATCACGGGGTTATTCAGCCATTCACAAATACTCACTGACCACCCATTACCTGTCAAATGCTCTGCTCAGTGCTAGCGACTTAGAAATAAACAAGATCCAATTGCTACGTCGTATCTGCCCAGGATAAAACAAAACCTGACAAATATGAAAGATACGGATATGGAAAGTCGCACTGAACTACTAACACAAGATGCCCCCCTTACCTCCAGACCTTCGCAACTTTTGTTCCCTCTGCTTAAAACACTCTCTTTCTCTCCTGTTAACTCTTACTGGTCCTACAGGACTCAGATTAAAGTTCACCTCCTGTCGTGACCCTTCCAGATTAGGCTGGATGCCCTGCTATATGCTTCTAACAGCACCCTAGGCTTCCCTGACTATAAGCCATCTCTCTTTTTACTGCTTCTTTAATGGCTTGTTTTCTCCCTGTCATTCTGTACCAGCCATGTCATCAGGATGTGCGTCTGTCCTAGCCCCTGCTGTCATGGTGCTTGACACACAGTTGGCAACCAAGAACTATTCCCATCTAAAATAATACGTGGTCATCATTGACAAAGAGAAATAAGCAATTTAAACTTATTTCTTAACTCTGGGTTATAGCTTTTTAACTCTCTGAAATTGCCACCACCTATAAATAGATTGGTTTCATTTAAAAAGGGTTCCTTATAAGTTCTATCCCTCTGAAAGCGACAGAAACCTCAAAGAGAAATGATTCAACACTGCTTCGAGACAGTCAACAGTTATTTCATTCTTTCTCATTTTAAACTAGGTGGTTTTATTAGATTGGCAAACCTCTTAAAATTAAATCTTCTCTTAAGCATTTCTTCCAATAGATAAATACTGGTATTGAAATTGTATTCACCTTGGATGGGTCATATCTTCTGAGTGTTCCTAAGAGTTCTGGAATTTGTATTCTTGTCTCTTCTTCACAGAAGAAAATCCATGATGAATTTCTGCTATACGTTACAGAAAAGCTGACAAAGAGAAATAGGTTACGGTAATCACTTCTATAAAATGAGTTTATAATAAAGTTTAAAACCGACAAGCAGGATGAAAGACATAAAATGGCAAGAAATCTAGATTTTTCCCCTGTATTTTCCTTCAATGTACAGTTTCAAAAGCCAGATACTAATAGTTTATCAAACAGCTAGAATTCTTAAATTCTCTCTGTAACACCACCAGTCCAGAAGGGAGACAATTTTCAAATGTAACTATCAAATACATCAACATTTTATCTTTTAAGAAAGCAATATATTTAAAAATAGAAGCCATTCATGGTTAAAAGAATCAAGAAATCTGGGTAACGTAGTAGTCATAAAAAACAGAGTTCAAATTTTCTTGACTCTGAGGAAAAACACACTCAATAAGAGGAGTGAATGTTCAGGTGGAAACGTCAAACTTCACACATTTCAAATTAAACATACTGTGGTAACAGTGGAAGTATGGTCCATGCACCCTCCTGCTTAGACATCTGATGAAGAAGGAGGACTCTTGGGAGTTCCTGAAGAAACATTATCAACGAGAAGAAATTAATAAAAGTACGATATGATCACTCTGATTAAAAAAAGAAAACACTCAATTTCTAAATGCAGGTATTTTTAGAGACCTGACATTTTACTCTCCTAACTACTTTCTTTTTTCTTCTCTTCAGGAGCTACTAGAAATTAAGGATGTTGGCTGGATCCACACAATCTTTTGGTCATCCAGGCATAAAACAGTGCAGAGGGCCTCGAAGAAGGGTCTCCACTGGTACCGGAGCTGACCTGAAATTTGCAGACTCGCGAAGGCGACTGGGAGGGAAGAGCCCAGAAGCAACCAGGCATAACTCAGAGGCACAGAAACAGATTTCACTGTGTAGAGACATCACAGGTAGCAGATGGAAAATAAAACCCTTCAGCTGAACAAAAGAGTATATATAATATCCCGTTTATCTCATGTAAAAAAAAAAAAAAATTTAAGTGCACTAAAAAAAGCTAAAACACCATGGTAAGGAAGAGTATTTCTAAATACTAGAAATATAATCCTTAAGTACTCAGTCGATGATAGTCACAATAGAATTTTAAAACTTACAAACACAGGAGGAACTAAGATTCAGAAATAAGACACAACTATGGTTAAATAAATATGCATAAACACCAAGAGAGATTAATATGATTCAGGCTATGAATGTCAGCTTTGAAGTAAAGCACTATTCAATATATTTCACGTTATCACAAGCCCAAAGTCAGCTATATGATACGCTTGAACACCACCCTTCCAACAAACTTTAGTATATTCTGTGTTTTATTCTATTTCCTGGTAACTGTTGCAGACAAAAGACTTATGTAGAAAAGAATTATTAAGAATAAATGCCTAAATATTGGAACTGTTACAACACTAATGTAGATTCCACACCAGCCTTTAAGTTCATATAAAGAATGGTTTTCAATATAAATACTTGGAATTATCAAATAAAGCTTCACTTATTTTGTGTAGTATTTATTTTAACTTTCATGTACAAATATGAAATGCAAGAACAGTAATGAAAGGTTAAGTCAGACTAACAACATGGCATGTCAGAGAGAAAAAAACACCCGAAAGGCTGAATTAGCAGTTAATTACTCAGTAAAATTCAGGGCTTTCCTGCTGTTGATTATGAATTATGCAGTAGTTTCCAGTGACTTTTAAGAAATGGCTATATATGTATTATATATATTTATACCACATGTATATTCATGAGGGATTATATAAGAACAGAAATCATGTGTGAAGAGAACTAATATTATTAATAGTTGCATAAAACTTTCAAATAACTATGGCAGCATGTTAATACGAAGCAGCCAGAAAAGAAACATAGCAAATACTTTAAAAGGCTTCATAAGAAAATAAGTAGCGAATGAGCTATTGTGTAACAACTGAAAGTGTAAATAATAAAGACTTTGAAACAATGGAAACGTCTTTATGTTAAATGGAAAAACAGACATGATTCTAAATACGTAAAATAAATTCACATGTGAACAGAGACTAGGAAGGAACCAGAAAAATGAAAACATTTGTGTCAAGATGACCAAAGTATTACATCGATGCTTTTAAAATCCTTTAATGTAGTTAAAACACAGTTTAGTTTTAAAAATTTCTTGAGGAAAAATGAATACACCTCCAAATTCTTCCATACAAGTCCTATCCTTCCCGGTTATGGGAAATACGTAGGTGATGTCACTGGGTATCACAAAAAGGCTGTAAAAGGGCACCTTCCCAGCAAGGATGCAAAGACAGACTTATGAATAACCTCTGTCACAACAATAAAAGTGAAAAGGCAAAGTCTTAGCACAAAGGAGCTAAATTCTACTCTAAAATGAACTCTATGGATTACTAGTGGATTACACTAGCGAATTATAATCATCCCTGTCTCCATTCTTTTTTGTTTACTGAATCGTATGCCTGGGTTTCAGATCGGTTTCAGTCAGTGAACACAAAAATGGCAATCCAGCTTTCTGTACCCATCCCACCTCCAAATAGAAACATTCCAAAACCTAGTGGGCTATGTCGATACCTGTCTCCAAAGGTGTGTGAATGCCCTTGTCTCAAAAATATGTCTACCATGACATTCAGAAACCTGGTCTCAGCCACATGCAGAAGGATGAAACTAGACCACTTTCTCACACCACTCACAAAAATAAACTCAAAATGGATGAAGGACCTGAATGTGAGACAGGAAACCATCAAAACCCTAGAGGAGAAAGCCGGCAACAACTTCTTTGACCTCAGCCGCAGCAATTTCTTACTTGACACATCTCCAAAGGCAAGGGAATTAAAAGCAAAAATGAACTATTGGGACCTCATGAAGATAAAAAGCTTCTGCACTGCAAAGGAAACAATCAACAAAACTAAAAAACCACCAACAGAATGGGAAAAGATGTTTGCAAATGACATATCAGACAAAGGGCTAGTCTCCAAAATCTATAAAGAACTCACCAAACTCCACACCCAAAAAAACAAATAATCCAGTGAAGAAATGGGCAGAAGACGTGAACAGACACTTTTCCAAAAAAGACATCCAGATGGCCAACAGGCACATGAAAAGATGCTCAATGTCACTCCTCATCAGGGAAATACAAATCAAACACAGATATCACCTCACGCCAGTCAGAGTGGCCAAAACGAACAAATCAGGAGACTACAGATGCTGCAGAGGATGTGGAGAAACGGGAACCGTCTTGCACTGTTGGTGGGAATGCAAACCGGTGCAGCTGCTCTGGAAAATAGTGTGGAGGCTTCTCAAAAAATTAAAAATAGACCTACCCTATGACCCAGCAGTAGCACTGCTAGGAATTTACCCAAGGGATACAGGAGTGCTGATGCATAGGGGCACATGTATCCCAATGTTTATAGCCGCACTCTCAACAATAGCCAAATTATGGAAAGAGCCTAAATGTCCGCCAACTGACGAAATGGATAAAGAGATTGTGGTTTATATACACAATGGAATACTACTTGGCAATGAGAAAGAATGAAATCTGGCCATTTGCAGCAACGTGGATGGAACTGGAGGGTATTATGCTAAATGAAATAAGCCATACAGAGAAAGACAGATACCATATATTTTCACTCATAGGTGGATCTTGAGAAACTTAACAGAAGACCATGGGGGGAGGGAAGGGGGAAAATGTTACAGAGAGGAAGGGAGGCAAACCATAAGAGACTCTTGGATACTGAGAACAAACTGAGGGTTGATGGGGGGTGGGGAAGGGGAAAGTAGGTGATGGGCAATGAGAAGGGCACTTGTTGGAATGAGCACTGGGTGTTGTATGGAAACCAATTTGTCAATAAATTATATTAAAAAAAAGAAACCTGGTCTTACTTCTCAATTAACCCAAGGCCATTTCAATTATAAATAAATCTTCATCCACTAACCCCCCAAAAGGCCCAAGAGCTTTTATTCTTGTTTTTTATACACACACATATGTGTATACGTGTGTATTTATATACAATGTACATGCATATGTGTGTGTATATATATATACATACATATATATATATATATATACACACACATATATCCTGTGTGTGAATACGGATGCACACATGTTCACATGTGTTAGCACTAAGAAAAAATAATTTTTTTAAGAAAAAATAATTTAAAAGGTCACAATAAAATTTTCCACCAAATGATCTTCTCTCAGTTTTGACTACTTGGAATTGTAATAATTTATGCTCTATTTGTCTGTTACAAATAACACCACCACCAGATTTAGACCTCCTTACAGGTGCCGTATCACCAGCTTACAGCACCTTTATACGCAATGCAAGTTTTTTTAATATGTAACTGGGTGGATGACTAAGAGAGTTTTCAAGTGAAATATCAAGGGGAAAGAAAATAAGAAAATGCTGCATCAGCAGAGCCATTTGGAATAAAAGCTACAGAAGAGGCGCCCATGCGTGCAGCACTGCCTGCCGTCAACCTAAATGATGCCTATTCACCAAACAATGCTACTATTTCAAACCTAAAAGGTAAGGCAAAATTGTGTCAATAATGAGATAATGAGGGGTGCCTGGCTGGCTCAGTCAGTGGAGCGTGCGACTCTTGATCTCAGGGCTGTAGGTTCAAGCCCCACGTTGGGTGTAGAGCTTAATTAAAAATAACCTCTTTAATTAAAAAAAAAAATGAGATAATGCCATAAGAGAGGCAGGCATAAACGGGCTACAAACAGGGCCTACTGTGGGCAAATGACAGAAAAGGGAAAGAAAATGAAAAAACTGACCACAGTTCACCTAAACTGCTTATATCGACTCTACTCGTGTCATTGAACCCGTCTGCCATTGCTTCCAACATCTACCGGTCCCCTAACAAGTGCTTTGAGGTCAGAAAGCCCACTGGACATGCCGTCAGTGCTTCCTTTGAACGCGTTTTGGATCAAGGCATATGTTCGCACTTAAGGCCCCTAACATTTAAGAAGAGCAAACAAACACCTTCAAAACCAACGCTCCCATTCGTTCCCTGGCTCTGACACAAACCCATTGCCTTCGTTTGGCAAAGGGGTTCGATTCCACAGCTGAGCACCCTGACAGTGCTCTGCGAATGGAGACAGCCCTTCATTCTTGATATGGAAGCAAAATCACAAAAATTTAGGTCTAGAAACACGAATAGTATGAAAGAACCAACATTTAAACATGGACGAAAACAGCTCAATACTTTATCATAAATAACTTCACTAGGCGAAGTTGGTTTTGAATCACTTTACTCTTCGAGCCTGTGTCTGGAAAGAATTCAACAAATTTAAGTTCACGCCACCAGCCTTTTCCCTTCTCTACGGACTGTTTCCCAATATTTGTAACTTGCCCCTACCTTAATTCAGAGTATAAACCTAGCAGAACAGGAGTTCATGGTCCAATTCGGTCTCAACATTCAGACCAAGTACTAAATTTGAAAGCAAAAGCCAAGGCTTTTGTTCAGTATTAGGCAATCGTTCTGAAAGACTGAATCCTGTTTTAAGACTGATTCCAGTTCAACCGCACTTCCAA